CCAATATTTGGAAATTTTTTTACTTTTTCTTTTTTAATTATAAAATTATTGATAACTTTTGCCAATTAAGTTAATTTTATATTATAAAAAACCACATGTATTTTATATTATAATGTATGAACATGAACTGATGCAAATTAAATTCTAGATTTTTTTCTTTGTTGACGCCTGATGACCCGATGGAAACTGACTGCAGCAAATATAGTTAGTTGAGCATTTGTGTGGCAAAACAAATGCAGAAACAAAGAATATCTCATTTCAAAAGCAAGAAACATCAGGCAAATTTAACATTGTATTTTATTTTTACTAAAAAAGTTAATTAGTTCAAAATTCCTTAACAATTTAAATAAAAATATTTTTCTCCTGATTTAAAAGTGTCATTGAAAAAATAATATAACAATAAAATATTGTGCTTGAATGTGTGCAAAATTTGAATTCCTTAAAATGAAATATTATATATAATTGCAATAATTGAATAATTAGATCTAAAATATGGAAACAGGATATTATAGAAATTAATTTACATGAATAAAAAAATTGTAAAATACTTTGTTAATTTAAAATTATTAATTATTTATTACAATACTTAAGACTTATCCAGTCTGCTCTATTTTAAAGGACGTGTCAAATATCAAATTTTACTAAACAAAAATATCAAAAACAATAATTATTATTGTTTTGTCTACAATGAGGGATTTAATGCTTGTTATATATAAATATATAGAATTTTGTTGCGTAAATTTGTATTAATTTGGAAGAAAAAAAAAATTGAATTGAATAACTTTGCATTTGTTATTCAGTCGTCTGCCAGCAGATGCCAATTTTCGCTGATCTTTCTCTGCATAATTTTGTAATTGACGTGTGCTGCGGCAAAATGGCAAAACACGCCCGTTTTAAGCATTCAGCAGCTCACCCCCTTTTTACCGCAGTTCACCTCTCGCTCTAATTTTGCTCTCACTTCTCAAGACAGTTAGTCAGTCCGATGTTAAATGATTCTGCGGCCGAAAGTTGGCTTCTGGAAGAAGATAAAAGCGGGCAAGGCACTCGACGCAGTTATTTTTCCGGGCGCCGCCACGCCTTCACGGCAAACACGCAGCAGCAACGCCGCCGACTAAAATATACGAGTCTTGTAACAATAAACAACTAATATAGGTTCCGCCCATTCACACTCGGATGCTAAATCTTTCTTTGCTTTTACAACAAGTCCACTCACTTCACGTAGTTTATTTTTCAACTCATTCTCTCCGCAGCATACACACAGGTGAACATGTGGCTTTTTTCTCGCTCGGGCGTCATAAATCAACCCTTTTTGGTGGCGACGCCGCTTGATTATTTACCGCGACGCCGTGTAATTTTATATTAAAATTCTGAGCTAATGCAAATTTATGGGAATGGAAGCTGTGCGAAAAAAAAATTACTTTTTAATTCACCGACCGGACTGCATCCGAAGACAAAGAGCGAGAGAGGAAATTTTCAAAGGCGCCTCTTCGCACGCCTCGCTCTCAACTTCGCGTGGTGAAGAGGATTTGCCACGGCAACTTGAGTGATGCCCTTTTTAATAAAACGCCTCTTGTTCAGTGCACTCTGGAACGCGAGAGATGTGGAGCAATCTCCGGTTTTTTTTCACGTGAAAAATGAGGCGAATATCAAATTAATTTGTCGCGCGTTCGTTTAAACTCCTCGGGCGACGAGTGATTCATCTGGCACAGCTCAGCCTTTGTTTCATTTTTTTTCTGCGGGGGATCATCAAAATTGAAGTGAATTTTTTGATATGTATGTTTAAGTAAAGTCGGTGAATAAAATTCAATTTGACGAGAATAGCATTTATTATTCTTTTTTTTATGTCATCGGAGTCAAAATGTAATGAAAGTTTTTGTGAGTGAAAATTCCCTTGTATATTCCCGGAAATTTCATTTTGAAAACCAAATAATAACTCCTATGCACAAAACACATTCTCGGAAAATGATATAAATTTATGTTGGTTTGTCGTGGTCCCAAAAAAAGAATATTATTATACGAATTTATTCCCGAGAATAAGCGTTTTTTAAACGACTCCAGTCATGATTCATGCAATAAAATACACAGCAGCCAGAACCGAGTCCATTATGATCCATAATACACACGCACCGAGTCCACATGCACACATATATTTATTAATGTAACAAAAGCCCAACCAGCAACTCATCATAAATTCTCGTTTACTTAACGCGGCTGCTACCAACAGCGGCGGCCTTACTCTGAATGGTCTGCGCGTTCCACCTCCTTTGTGCGCTGCAGCTACACACCCGAGTTTCTCTTGCTCATTGTAGTAGCACGATTTTTATACCTGGTGAACGCCTGAACCATAGGCAGCCTGCGCAACGCGAATATTTTTTAATTATTTATATGTGTCTGACGCGAACAGCCGCAGGTGGTTTTTTGTGTCCATCTCACTCGCCTCGGCAATTACGGACGATGAGTTGCTGCTCGAAAAAGGGAAATTCTGCTCGGCTTGTTTCGTCAGCGTATTAGCTGTGCATTGTGCAAGAAGTTGTAGTGTTCGCCCCCTAATGAATAAACAAATTGCAGCTTATATGCCAATCAAAAAGTTTCAAAAACATCAGCACGCCCTCTGATGATCAGATTTTATTAACTGATTTATTTTTATCTGCCTTTCGCAAGAAATTATTAATACACAAAACCAATAATAATTAACGTCGGACTAACGTGGAAAATTTGGCTTTTATTTTAAATCACAGAATGTATGCTTTATTATTTTTTGTGCGCCTTATTTTTGTGAGACTGTTTACAATTTTCTTATTTCTGGAAATGTTTTCCCCGGCCGTTTCTTTTAACACTCATTTATTCTGTCTACTGAAGCGATGGGCCAATTTATTCACCTCGTTTCTCATGTGCTTGTTTATTATTTTCTTCGTCAATAATCTCCGAAAAGGGGCAATGCGTTCCTTCTATTTGAAAGATAAACAGGACGTTCATTTTTGCAAAGCTTTCTTGAAAGACGCGATTGCCCTCTTTCTCTCTCCCATTTTCTCTCTTTTTACGCAAAGCGGAGCAGAAAGTAAAATTCAGAGCCATTAATAAATCTAATGAGGCGTGTGCGAGCCCCGCTGGAAAATAAACTCCAGTCAATGAGCTGCCGTGCAGAAAATCATTTGCCGCGAGAATTTATATCGCCTGGCGAATTCTCTCTGGGCCCGAAAAAGCATCTCTTTTCACCCACGAGTGCTGGTGCCTGTGTGCGAGGAGGAATGTAATTCTGCTTAAATGGTTTCTGTGCTGCGAAATCTTCTTTTCCAAACCGTTTTTATAAAAGGTGACAGTAAGAATCGGTAAAAAAAGGCCTTTGATGTTTACGCTTTTGCCATGGAAAAGAAATTTCTTCCTATTCGTTTTATTTCCCACTTTGCCTTCAATTTAACATCAAGCAATTTTGTATTTTCCAAAAGAAATTCCTCGTTCCTTTCATTCAAATAACAATGTCAATAAATCTCTTTAAACCCTTCTGTTTACCCTTAACGTGTTTGCCAGAGAACTCTTAAATAAAATCCGAACAGTCAAGAGGGTGAAATTAACGTTGCACTCTCTTTAAGAAATGACTAATTTCCCCAGGGTGAAATTGGATCGTGCTCTCTCATTCAACTCTTTCGTTCCGCCGGCACTAAATGAAATGCACCCCTTCTTTCGTCATCGGACCCACACACGTGTGTATATATTTGCTTTTGCAGTTCCAATAAATAAACCCACCCCTCCCACCGATGAGTGCAAAAAATCTGATCTCTCGTAGAGCACGCGCCCGATATTAAATTTCTACAATGTTAAAAAAAAATGAACTCGTTCGAAACCAACCGAGATAAAGGACATTTTTCCTTTCTCTGATAGCGCAGGGGGTGGAATTGTGACACGGGGGTGCCTGCGCGCCGGAGATAAAATAATAGCGGCGCTCCCTCATGAAAAGGCACACACTTTTTCCGAGAACGCACGATAATTATTACATCAGGAAATTGGATATTGCCTGCAGTCGTGCTTTCATACCTGAAACAATAACCCTTTATGCGATACAAGCAGGCAGGGTGTTCCTATATATACCATTGCACGTACGTGTTCCCCGCAATCGGGGTTCGCTACTGATGAAACTCGCGCGTATCACAATGCGTTCCTTTCACACGGATGCTGTTTTGTGCCCTCGCGGATGCTCGATTGTTGTGCGTTTGTTATACCCAACGAGAACGAGCACCCTATTCACATTCACTTGATGCAAAATCATAATGAGCAGCATGCAATATACTGGCTTTCCTTTTCCTGCTGGAAGTTCAGCCGCGGTTAAAATTCACTTGAATAATATTCATTTGATTCCAAATCAGCTTTTCCGTTGACTTTGTTTGTCAATATCAGCTAGCGTATGATTTAAATCAAACTGCCTCCGGCCAAACGCAGAAATCAATAGGAATGAACGTTATTTGCGGCGAGTTGAATAGAATGTGCAATTTGGCCGTACCGGGATTTATGGCTTTGAAATCCAATATTTCGATACATAGTGGCCAATGCATGTTCCGGTTGAACGCAACAAAAGCACTTTTGATTTGGCTGAATAACTTTAAAAATAAAAGCAAACCAAAGTTTACCACAAACTTGCAAATACTTGCTCTAACCTTTTCGCTAAAGCGTGGGCATAACCTTTGACATTTGTGCACTGATTTTGCTGAAATATTAGACAAGGGAGGAGGAAATATTATTATAGGATGATTAAATCCAAAGCTTTCGCCAATTTGTAGAGAGTCGTTGTGAAAATGGGTAAATGTGTCAGAAGAGCGAGTTGATCAAAACAATGGTCGCGAGCGCTCGCCCAAAAGTGGCTAACGGCGAATCGCGGTCGGTTGACAAAAAGCACTCGCGAGTGACAAAAGATATGACCCTTATTAGGATGAAATTTCATAAGCCATTAGACCAGCTGTGGCATGTGTTTGTGCCTCAATTAACGAGACCGTTTTTCATTGTTGCAGGCAATTTTGTGGTATTGTGGCGGAGAGGAAGTTCCGTTTTGACAGCACGTGAGATCATGGTGACCCGTGACCAGAGATTCCGACTCGTCGAAGGCTACAATCTGGAGATCAGGAACGTGATGCCGCAGGACGCCGGCGACTACGTGTGCCAGATTTCCGCCAAGGACAACAAGGACCTCGTTCACACTGTCGAAATTCTAGGTGAGTGCTAAAAAAAAACTCGTTTTCTTTTAGAGTCTCAAAATAATTTAGCTTCAGTTTTGACTTCAAAGGCAGATTAAGTAAAAAAATTGTGTCGAAGGCGTATGCGTGGAAACACAAATATTTTGACTCGGAGGCGCGCCTTTTTATTAAATTGCCAGCGCTTGAATTTTCCGCTCCGGGGCTGCAGGAGACGAAATCGGATTTTCGCCATCTCTCTGACGGCGGGGCATCGATAAATTCTGGGAGAGAGCCCCGCAAGAGTGTTACCGCCACCGTAAATCCCATGTGCGCATATCATACAAATGGCCATCGTGATTTGGATGCACAACTCGAAACCCATCAAATGCTCGCCAACGCGTAAATGCTCCAACTTTTGGAGTTCTCAGAGCGGGTACTGAATTTGAAACATAAGTTTTAAAACTTCAAATTTTAACAAAAATCTTGATCTAAGACAGCTTTATTTAAGCAAAATAAAATTAAGTTTATGAATTATTATTTGGGATTTTTTTAATTTAATTATCATTATTATTTTTGATATATTTATACTTTTAAGTTATTTATTAATTATTTATATTGATCTTATAAATGATAATAATTAAATAAAATTATGATTTACTTTAATATAATGATTGTCGGTTATTATATAAATATTACTATAATGATTTGGCCATATTGAGTACCATTCAATTTTATGTTTAAATTTCCACAATAAAATAACACTTTGTTACAATTGGGTTTTTGACTTGAAATGAAATAATATTATATTCGGGTGAAGAAAATTGCTAATTATTAATGAATTTGCTAAGTTAGTTTAACTCCAGCTTGAAGATTCCTAAAAACTGCCTAAAAATGTAAAAATCAGATTTTGGCATTAATAAAAATTAAACAAAGGAATAAATATTATTAAAGAAATTAACATCTGGCACGGATCTAGATATGAAAAAAAAAATCATTTCAACGGATTTTAATGAATACAAAATAAATACAATTTATTTACAATAAATTTTATTTTATGTAAATTTAAAATAAATAATACATATAAATTAAGTTCGTTTATATTCCGTTCTCCACACTCATGCTAAACTCCTCGGCACTTCTTCAAACTTTCCGACCTTGCGGCTTTCCTGGCGCTGCTGGGAAAATAAAATTTATGCCTGAGTCCAGAACGCGCTTCTCACATTTCACAACCGCCTAAGCAGCATGTCATCTGATTGCGTCTGTTATTTATTGCCCTTTTGCTGAGATTACAAGCGGCATAGGTGGTACATTGCTCACACACGCGTCCTCTCTTAAAATGCATTCTGTACATGCCGCACGTCATTTTATTCATGGGGGAGTTATCTTTAAGTGGACTACTTTTCCAGCGCACGCATGCATTTGCATTAAAAGTTTTGAAATGAAAATATGTGTGTTCCGGCTAAAGTGGGATGGCGTGTTTTCCGCTGCAGAATCGGCGAATCTCCGAGGGGAAATTATTTATGCAACTTTTCGCGAGCTTGTAAAACAGAGTGCAGGCTGCGTTCATGGGAGTTTGAAATTATGCACGCGCGTATGCGGTTGTGCTGAAGAATGGCGCTTGTTTGTTCTGGGCTTTTAAATTTGCGCCTTCCCACAAACGAGCTCGAAATGAGGAAAAATTTATAAAGCGCACGCCAAGTGGCGGCGGCAACTTTGCGCGCAGAATGTAGGTCGTTAAGTATAATCTGCACGTGTTTTGCTTACAGCATAAGTTGGCGCAAAACAATCTGAGCTAGATTGCTGGAATAAACCTGGCGATGAGGGTTGTGATAATTATTTGCGTGAAACATTTAGTTGCTTAATTGGAAACAGGTGCTTGAAGTAAGAGTACAAGCGTAATAGGGCAAACTGAGAGCAAAATAAAATAAATTCATTGGATACAAATAACTTTCCATCTCGTAATTATGACTTTATTATTATTATTTCCATTTATTTAACACAATTGTGTACAACTTCAGCAAGACATTATAATAGTTAAGAATTAAAGTGTCGACTTAAGGTTAAATATAATCTATACTAGGTTTTATCTTTATCCATTTTAGCATATTCAGTTAGGGATTTGATTCTTTTTGTACATTTAAGGAGGTGGTACTGAGAAATCTTTATGACTTTATGAGTTGATAAAAAAAAATTAATTTCATATGATATCATGTAGAAATAAAAATTAATATTTTAGGTTAAAAAATAGAATAATTTTTCCCCTAAGCTTCATGCCTAATAATTAAAAAGAATTATTTATAATAATTGACAAAAATATCAAGATTGTTGAGATGGACCCAGTATATTTGAATTTACTTCCCAGAACTAATTCCAACTATAATTAAATCCGGATATAACTGATCCCATTAAAATGAAATTATTTGGAATTATTAGTTCCCCCTACCCATTTAGCCCTTCAGCACCAGGGTCTATAATTTGCGATGCTAGAAAACCTCTTTCTCTTGGCGAACATGGAATGCAAATAATTTGACCACTTCATCCCTCCTTCTTGGAGTCAACGCGTGAAATTCGAATCCAGCACCAAAGCAGCTTTGGGCGAAACAATACATGCGGAACTTAATCCCCTTATTGTGGCGAGTACAATTTCATAATTGCGTCGAGGGTGTACCTATATTGCGGGTATTGTCATTAGGACTGCGCCCGGCATCGGAGACGAGATTTCACTGGCAGCAATTAGGATTAACTGCCATTTCGGCTGCGGTTCGAGAAACAATCTGCTCACGGAGCGTTTCGAGGCAATATGGTGGGCGACCATCTCGCTCTCGGTTTTGGCAAAGCCCACGGGGCTTGGATGAAAAAGAAAAGCCACTCGCCGGCTTAGCTTTTTGGCCAGATTGCCTTTATGCAGTCAGACAAGGGGAAATATTTAATGCCCACCTCGTAATGTATAAGAGGTTTAATGAATAATGCGTACCTAGGCTTTTGATGGACAAGCCGAGAGTACTTGCTTTTTTCCCACCACCAGCAGATTTTGTATTAACATCTCTGTTGTATTATATAAATGGAAAAAGTAGTGTTTTGTGTGGGTAGATAGGGAGAGTTGAAAGTTTCCTTTTCAGACCATAATGTCCATCCGTATCTCCTATACATTTTACAAGTAAGCGTAAGAGTGAATATTCATAATTGCTTTTTTGCACAATTTTCATATTTGACAATTAATTAATATAAAATTGTGGAAAAGGAAAGCTCCCCTAATTAGACTTATGTGAAGTAAAATCCTTGGAAATATTATTTATTAATTTAATATAAAAAAGGTGACATGTTTTTATTCACTATGATCTTGCAATGATAAAACAAAAAATAAAAATTGACCAAATTTTTATTTACTGCCACCGCTTTTCTGAAACTTGTAGTTTTATTAAATGTATATTAATTAGAAATAAAATGTGATATTTATAAATATTCTATTAAATTTAATTAATTTATTTGTATTTCATCTTGCGCATAGTCTCAAGTTCAATAGTGTAGAGGTTTAAGTTTGTAATTGTGAACATAAATGTTCTCTAAGTAAAAATAAAAAATATAATTATATATAAATTGTGTTTGCAGAGATTCAAAGTTTAAAAAAATGAACCAAACGTCAAATTTATTTAATTGAAAACTTTGTTGCGCACGTGCGTTCAATCTCATGAATCGATCCATTTGATCAGTAATTCATAATGGATTTGAACTATTGAAATGAAGGAAAAAAAATCTAATCACTTTGGTCGGCGAGTCTATAACGTTTTATCCAAATTAGAAATTCGCAGCATGGAGACGTGGTAGAAGCCGAGCATAATTCCGATATGGAATGCACGCAGTGTTTGTTTTGTTACGTCGCGGCGGTTTTGCTCTTCACCGTGGTCGATATGTATGAAGTAGCCGAGTTGACTGAATGTCAACCGTCGTTACACATCATCAATCACAAAACAGGCGCGCGCTGGAGATTTTCTATCTCGCGCCGGCGGTCTCTCTTGCTCTCTAAAATAAATATCCTAACTGCGATACGTTGCGTTACTATAAAATTTATTTTCAAACTTTTACGCGACACGCTCGCTAAATTTTTGCTCGTGGCATAATGTGTTGAAAATTCCAAAAAGCGCCCGCTCTCTCTCTCTCTCTCTCCTTTCCGAACGACATTTCTGTTCGTTTCATAATTAATGGCACTCGCAGTTCTATATCTATTTTTATTCTCTTCGCCGCCGTTCGTTTTGAGGCCATAAATCATTTCTGCCAAGCCATGTGTCTTTATTTGCAACGCTGAATTAATGCTAATAACAAATAAATCCCAAGAGTTTTGAACACACTTACTGTGATTTACTTTCCTAAATTCGAGTGCTTGATAAATCTGCAGCAATACGGCTTTGCATGAATTGCAAGATAATTTTTTCAACCTTCAAATTCTACCAAAAAGAACCTTGACGTGTTTCATAAGATAAAAAAAATCAATATCAAGTACTCTAATTAAAAATAAGTTAAAATTTTCCACGTGCCGGGTGGCTCTCGTTTTTTACTATACAAGAGATAATTAATCAACCGCTCTGAAAATTAGAATTTCAAATTTCGTAATGAACAAGCCCGTTTCATTAGAGGGTGAAAGGATCCATATAAGACTTTGAAAACACACGCTCTGCTCTCAAGGAAATACACACATATCTCACGAAACAAGTGAAGCGCCCCTCGGAAAAATCAAATTTATCTTCGCGCGTGCACCTTACTCTCGGCAAACATATGGCCTAGCGGGGGAGAAACGTAAAAAGTGAGGTCCGAGATATCTTATTTTTGCAGCTCCACCACCTAATGCATATTTATCACGCGTTGCCGCGCGCCCCGTCTGCGGGGGGAGAGTTGAATTTATTATTTTGTAATACCTCTCTAACGCCGGGAATTGCGCGGCACTTTGCATAATTTAAGTAACTGCTCCTGCTGCTGGTATGTACGCAAGGCCCGCCGCTTATATCTTAAGAGATTTAACGCTAATGCCTTTTGTGCGTCTGCTG